ATTCCACCGGAATTCACAGCATTAGCACTCAGCTCCTGAGCAGGAATATCCATATTTTGAACAACCTGCTTCTCCTGGGAAGGCACCATACCAATAAAATTCAACACCGACTTTCCCTTATCCTGTTGCATAATAATCATCTCCCCACTCAAAGGCAAAACTTCAGTTTTCTGTATTGAAGGCTGTACTTGCCCACCTTGTTCAACACTTTCCTGCACCTTAGGCACCTCTCTCCAAATAGCTTTAGGTGGTACAACTGGCTTAGCATTGACTGTTTGTGTTCTGTTCCCAACTCTATCATTATTTGGTCTTCTCCTTCTAGTTATAATGGTCCATTCACCCTCATCATTGTCAACATCTGAACAACTCTTGTGAGCGGGATTTACTCCAGCAAATGATACATCTCCTTCCAAACCTCCCAGACCACTGCCTTTAGCATCAACCAAGACCCCAGGCCTATCCTGCATCTTCTCACCACTGGTCTTAACAACATGTTGCTTGGGCTGAACAAAGTTCTCCTTACACAACTCTGCCTTATGTCCCACTCTCCCGCACTTCAAACAAATTAAGGGGATTCCCTCATATTCAATGGGTTGAAAAAATCTTCCATTCAACCCGTTAGCCCAAACTCCCTTTGGTAGCCTCTTTGACAGATCCAAACGCACACAAATACGAGCAAATGCACACCTATTCAATAACTTCGTTTGCTCGTCCATCAACAAAGGATCCCCTATACCTTCCGCCAACCTCACAAGATTGGATGCATCCCAATACTCCAAAGGTAAATTTGGTAACCTGATCCAAACCGGTGATGTAAATCCTCTCAAGGATTTAGAGGATAGCCCAGCAGCCCATTGTTCAACTCCAATGATTTGTCTAGCTACATACCAAGGTCCCCCAAGCAATACATCAACCCTGGCTTCTCTACTTTCAAACCAACACAAGAAGCAATCCGATCCCATAGTAGTAACCTGTGTAAGCCCAAGATGACCCAATTTCCTTTGAAGCTCATTTTGAACAACATAAAAAGGAAGACGACGTCCCAAAAGGCTGCCAACCAGAGTTCTGCTAAGCTTGCTCACATTAATTCTAGCTTTGTTAAGATCTAAGTTTACGAAACCATCTTCTCACAAGAAGCTACCAGCCTCATCAACCAAAGACAATTGTACTGCTGTGGACTTCTTCCAAGAATTAGAAGCTGTGCCAATCTCATCACCCTCCTTCTTAATCGACCTGGTTATGCTAGGAGTCCGAGTATCCTGCTGGGAGCTAGAAGAGACATTTCCCCGATCACCTGAACTGCAAACTGTATCCTTAGCCGAACCACATCCAACAACATCTTCATGTTCACGCCTAGACACTCGCCCAGTTTCCTTAA